TGACAGAGAGCTGTTGTCATTGGGTGGATTCTGGGTGACAGAGAGCTGTTGTCATTGGGTGGATTCTGGGTGACAGAGAGCTGTTGTCATTGGGTAGATTCTGGTGGCAGAGCTGTTGTCATTGGGTGGATTCTGGTGACAGAGAGCTGTTGTCATTGGGTGGATTCTGGTGACAGAGCTGTTGTCATTGGGTGGATTTTGGTGACAGAGAAGTTTTGTCATTGAGTGGATTCTGGGTGACAGAGAGCTGTACCAGAGGTGCCCAGGCTGTGATCTTTACAGAAGCAGACTGCCTGACCATCTCTCCTGAGGAGCCGTTGGGTGGGTGACAAGAGAGGCCTGGTTCGGCCACCCTGTGCTCAACCACTGGGCCACCTGAGCTGCTGCTGGGTGTTTGCCCTGTGGTGCTGGACCAGGGACAGCTGTGTACACAGGAGTTCCATCGAGTGAGTGTCTAGACTCAGCCACAGGCTCCGTCTGGGACGGGAGCATGAGACGGGTCTGGAAGATGTCCCAGGAGGCTATGGACAGTGAGGACCCAGCTGGCTGATGTCTTGGTGTCAGAGACAGGGTGGGCCTCCCCAAGTGTCTTCTGCCCCCACCCCCAACCCCTCATGTCTTCTGGGCCTCCCCAGTGTCTTCTGGAGTGAACTCCTATCTCAGTGTCAGGGCCACACTGCGTCTGTCTGAGAGTGATGGGTGAGGTCACCCTTGGTGTCCAGAGGCTTATCAGGAGAGCCAAAGGAGACACCCCCACAGTTCGAGGGAGATGCCTGCAGCGACTTTGTGAACCTCTTGGGCAACAGTTTTGTCTCCAGAGATCCTGGTTTGTGTCTGTCTCCCCAGAACTTGGAAGTCCCCCAAATACCAGTTGTTGGGAGCCTTTTGTCTCTAGGATGACCCTCAGTGGGAACAAGGAAGTATGCCCCCGCCTTCTGGGGCAGAAGGGGACTGAGGCCTCTGTCCCCTCTCCCTTCTCAGGATTCAGCCCTGATGGAGGCCGGCGAACCCGTGTGCAGAGACTTGACCCCCACCTCCGCCATGCCGGAGGCTTCTGGGCCCCTGGTGAAGGACATCCAGGCTGCTGCTCCAGGGCCCGAAGCTCCTGAGAGCTCTTCTAATGAGGGGGCGGAAGGCCAGAGACCCCCACAGACTCTGGCAGAGTCTGGAGATTCGAGCAGTTGCTCAGCCAAGACGGAACCATCCTCCCCTGATGATGTGTTCGCAGATGAGGAGACCCCCCAGGATGTCCCTGCAGCCTCCCAGGAGACCTCTGGGACCAGTAGCCAGGTGACCTCTGGGGCCTACCAGGATGTCCCTGCAGCCCTCCAAAAGACCCCCGGGGCCCTCATCCAGGAGATCCCTGAGGCTAGCAACCAACAGATACCTGGGGACCACCAGGAAGTCCCTGCATCCCCCCAAAAGAAGACCGTGGCCAGCAATGAGGAGCCCCTTGGAGCCCATCAGGAAGACCCTGAACCCCACCAGGAGATACCTAGGGTCAGCAACCAGGAGACCCCTGTGGCCAGCAACCAGGAGGCCCCTAAGAGAGACCAGGAATCCCCTGTAGCCAGCGACCAAGTGAAGATGTCAGCTCACCTGGAGCTCTGGGTCCGCCGGGCCCCAGGTGAAAATCTGGACCTGATGCCTCTTCCCAGTGCCAGGGTTAGCATGTGGGAGACAGGGCTCCTGGATTGGGGTGTCAGCCAGGAGGAAGCTTCTCTGGAGAGCCCCATAGAGACCCCCGGACCCCAGGAAGAAGCCCTGGGACAATTTGTGCAAGCCGGGTGCTTGCCTGCCCAGGAGGCCCCAGAGCAGGAGGAGCAGGCAGAGCAGGCCATGAGGGTACAGGAGCCGGAGGAAGAGCAGGCTCACTGGAAGAGGCAGGCACCTGAGCAGGGGCAGGAAAGCAGGCTGGGGGCTGAGGAACTCAGAGGCCTGGCTCAGGCCCTCTGGGCTCAGGAAAAGCCAGGGACACTGGCCCAGGGCCTGAGGGAGCTGCAGGGGCCAGAGGAGAATGGGGTGGATGCTCTGCCCAAGGGGGTGCCTGGGGCACAGGAGGCCCAGGGCCTGGGTGATGAGACCACTCCAGCCCCGGGGTGGAGGGAGGAAGCAGTTGCCTATGCTGGGCATGGGCTAGGAGCCCAGAGGGACTACGTGAAACATGACCCCTCCACCTTGGTTCCTGGGGTGCCTCTTCCCAGTGACCTGCCCCCCATGGCCTCTAGTCCCCTGACGTGGGCTCCTGGGGCTGGGGATGTGTACCCTGAAGCTCTGACTCCTGAACTAGCACCACCAGGACAGGGCCACCTGCCTATGTCCCCAACCAACCCCTTCCCCACTGAGGCATCCCCTGATGAGAAGGCATCTTGGGAAGGCCCTAGAAAGGGGTCTGAGCAGGGTCTGGGGGCCATCACAGTGGGGTCACCTCCATGGACACCGGCATCCCTCTGCTCAGTGGCCTCCCTGCCCGGCTGCCCAGTGGAGGAGAGCCTTCCTGCTGCCGGGTCTCTAGAAGCTTCTGCAGCCTCACTCTCTGAGGTTCTCAAGACCCCCAGGGCTGCCTGCCATGATCCTCCCTCCACAGATGCCACCTGGGACCTGTGTCCCAGCACCACTGGGCTCTCCCAGCCGAGGCCCCTGGCCAGCCCCTTGGGGCCAGCCCTGCCCCTGAGAAGTAACTCCTTCCCTGGCCCCCACCACACTGAGCCCCCCAAGGACCTGGCTAGGTCACTTTCCTTCTCTCACTGGGAGCCCCCCAAAAGGCCCCCAAAACCTGCCACCTGGGGCATTCTGACCCCACAGCAGGGCTGGAGGAGTGGGCAGGATGCAGGCAGCATCCTGCATTCCAATGGGGCATCGCCCCTCCTGGGGAAGAGCCTGGGACTGCCCCCCACCGAGTCAGAGGGCCCAGGCACTGCCCACTCCTGGCCCAATGAGCACAGCTCCGCCCACACCCCACACCCCCTCGCTGTCGACGGGAGGGTCCGGGAGCCCCCGTCCCCCCTGGAGAGGAGACAAGGTCCGGTCCCCACACGGCAGCGGCATAGCCATCCAGCCCCAGCGGCTCTCTGCCTCCGCAAGGGTCCACCTGACCACCTGACGGCAAGGCAGCTCCGGCCACTGCCGGCCACCCCGGACTCCCCCCGCGCTGTGCAGGCCTCGCTGCCCCCCAGGGCCAGATACAACAAACCTCTGCCCCCTACGCCCAATGTGCCCCAGCACCTGCCTTCTGCACACTCGCCCCGCAGCCTCCGGACCTACAAGCCACTGCCTCCACTGCCCACTCTGGATACTCCCACTGAGCCGCCCCCACTGCCCCCCAAGCTCCGGAGCCGGAGCAGGAGCACTCAGGGAGCCCTGGCGAGCACCCCAGGTCAGCCAACGCCTGGGGATCCGGAGTGGGCGGCGCCCCCTGGACCCTCTGCAGGCCGTACCTCCTGGCCCCCTGCCACAAGCCAGTCTGTGGACCCTTTGGTGACTGCCAGCCGAAGCCGGGGTGAAGTCCCCCTCACCTTGGCCTTCAGCAATGTGACAAACCTCCTGAGCCCCCTGTCCCCACCAACCGCAGCTTGGCCCCCAGAGGACAGGGTCAGGCTCACCGGGGAGCCGGGGCCCCAGGGCCGAGCACCTGCGAGAAGAGAAGGCTCACAGGAGGGGCCCAGCAGCTC